AAGAGCGAGAAGCAATTTAAATATGTTCAGGGACCATTTTCATCTCCAGAATTAAGGATTATTTTGATGTTACATCATTGCCTTTTCTCTTTTACTTTCCTTTTTAGTTTTATTTTAGGATTCCCTATTTTTAATGTTCATACAGAGATTTCTTTAACTGAAATACCGAATAGTTTCTTTGGTGTGAAAAACTATAATAGTACACAGGATCCTAATGAGACAATTAATAATGTGAAATAGGAAGTAAAGGGCTAAAGGTGTAAGGAAAGTGGGAAGGGTGGGGGAAAGGTAATAAGGGAGAGGAAAAAAATATGAGAAACTGAAAAAATGGAAATAAAGTGTTTGTAAATGGGGAGGAGAAGAGGGGGTGAAGGGAGGGCAGGGGCAAGGGGAAAAATGAGAATCAAGACCTATTATGTAAAGGTACAGAATCCCAATGATGAATGTAACTGTATTTGTATACCTAGATTGTACCAATATCCTCAATAAAATAGGAAAAAAAATTAAAATTAATCAAAAGTCCATGTTCAGCAAGCTCAAACACAGAAACAGCATGAAGGGCCTGGGCAGAGAAAAGATGCTCACCTTCTGGTGTCCAGGAAGCAGAGATCTAGGAAGGAATCTCAGGGGGAGCTAAACCCTTCCAGGCCACACACCCCCAGACCATGCCTCCTAGCAACAAGTCAGCTATTAACCCCCATAACCAATCACCTTCCAAAAGTGCTGCCTATGATTGGATGGGGCTCTTGTGGGACATCTAGATATAAACTATAATAGCCTCTCTGAGGAAGTGACATTTAAACTGACAATTGAAGGGTAAGAAAGGAAAAAACATGTGACAGCCTGGGAGAGCAGCATTTCAAGCAGAGGGCACAGCCAATTCAAAGGCGGAGTCTGATCTTTTGGTTCATTCCAACCTGAATTAACCAAAACGGGGGAGAGGAGACAATGGAGAAAATGGTATTTCATCTCTGAGTGCTCACCCAGCAAGCTACACTAAGCTTATCCCTGCTAGCAGCCTCTGTGCCCTGTGCTAACATGAGCAGGTGTAAGGAGGTCCCCTTACTCAGCCAATGGGGGACACAAATAACCAAATAAACACGGCCCCATGAATAAGTAAGAACATCACAGACAATCGTTCCATGTTCTAAGAAAGCCAAGCAGATGATTAATGCTCTTGAGTATGATGATGTGAGCAACTGTGCGCGCTATCCTGCTAGCTCAGACTATCCAGATTTTAGGTGGAATATTCAGGTGAATAACAGGTCTAACAGGTATATATCATCAACTATATTTGGAGGAAATAGCACCCTAATAAGAGCGAACATTTATGGAGCATGGAGATTTGCCTGGTTTAAATGTAATTTCAGAGTCCCTGTGAGACAGGGACTATTCATATTCCTCTTTTTTTTTTTTTTTTTTCAAATAAAGAAATTGGGGCCCAGCAAGGAAGGTGAAGGGACTTTCCTGAGGGCACTGATCTCTCATGTGACAATTTCCCAGCTTCATCTGGGTTCAGAGTCTCAGTTCTGGTCCCTCATGTATGGCCTTTCTTCCCAGGGGTCCTAGAGGTGGAAACATGGAGAGAGGAACTCCTTGTTTCCACATTTAAGGAAAAGTGGAAGTTCCCAGGGCAATCCCTTAACTCCAGTCTCCTGAGCACCCGGTGGAGTCTGGGAAGAATAGGAAGTCTGTGGCCCGCTTGGTAGGTGAGTCCTGTCCCCTTCCATGTATTCAAATTCGGTGGCTTTTAGCCGTGAGCTGGTCATCTTCAGCCCACGGGCTGGCCATCCTGAAACCTAAACAGCCTTGCTTCCCTTCCCTCCGCCCCCTTCCCTTCCAGACTTCTTAGGGTGAGTCTGTGCGTCTGTCCGGTAGTCTCTGAGTGCATCTGCAGTGCACTCTTCCAACGCTTCTCCCGTTTTTCCAGGATGATTGGTTCTCTTTCTCCTCACCTCCCCTCAGTCCCTTCCTACTTCCCTCCCTCCTTGTAGGGAGGCTCTTGGCCAAGCTCCCTGAGCCCAGCGGGTGCAGGCAAAGGAGGCAAGAAGGGTGAGGTCACATCTCCCTGGAGCCCGCGGCGCCGCTGGCTTTTCAGAACCTCGCCATGAGCGCGCAGCCACAGCCACAGCCCGAGCGGACAGTGAGCTCCTCAGCCCTCCGTGCACCATCGACTTCGCCCATGTCTCAGTACGCCCCCGGCTCGGACCTCAAGGGGGTTTTGGACAGCAGCAGTCCGGAGGCCAACACTGAAGATGATAAGACCGAAGAGGACATACCCATGCTGAAGAACTACCTGTGGCTCACAATCTTCTCCTGTTTTTGCCCCGCGTACCCCATCAACATCGTGGGTTTGGTCTTCTCCATCATGGTGAGTGGGTTGGTCCCAGAAGCAGCTAGGAAGGAGAGACCCTTCCTAGAAACCCCGAGGGCTCTCTGTGGGCTCCTTTCCTCGCAGCCTCCGCGCCCGCCCCTCCTCCAACTTTCCTCGGGTTCCCCAGCCGTCCCCGGACCACCAGCATCCCCCTAGGCACCTCTCTCTGAGACTGAGAACCCCCACCAAGCCTCGCTCAGGCTAACTTTATGCTTCTTTCAGCGCCCTTGATAGCCGCTCGCTCTCTAATCCGGGAAAGTTCTTGGACTTTGCTGCTGCTTCCCGCCGCCTCTAAAGGTCTAGATGCGCGCTTGGGCTCTCTGGGGGCCCAGAACTGTCTCTGTTAGCATAAACGCCAGGGCCCCGCCTCCACCACTCTCGCCGGGCTACTCGACTCTGCTTCCTGGACCCGGATCCGGCGCCTTAGCCCGACAGGGTTCAGGCATCGGTTCTCTTTCGCCTGTTCCAGTGCCCTTTGGCACCACCTCTCCACGGCGCGCGAAGCTAACTCACTCCCGCTGGTCTCCAGTTCCCTTTTGAACACCCCTTACGCCCCTTTCACCAGCGAAATGCACGCTCGCCTCCTCGCTTTTACTCCTGCCTCACCGCGTCGTAGCTACGACCCATTTGCTGCACACAGACCCTATCCCAGCACCCTCCACTGCGTCCTGCTCCCGGGCGCTCCCGGGAACACACTGGGGCTCCACGCTGGGTGTCTCTGCCTGCGCCCTCAGTGCGCTGGCCTCCCTGCAGAGAGCCTCTAGAGGAGAGGCCACTGTGCCACTGTTGCGGCTGTCAGGGAGCTCCGCTCCGCCGCCCCCTTCAACTCTCCTAGGAACTCCCCGCGAACGCCACCGGGAGGGCGACCGGCGCCGGCGAGGTCCTCCCCTTATTGACTGGAGCAGCTGGATTGGTGGCGGGGTTGGGGGTTGTTCAGATGGGCCCTGTCCCGGAACAACCCTAGAGGCAGCGCTCCTCCCCCAAGGCCCTGTCCTCTGCCTAGGACCGGGGAACTCCCTGCCACACACGTCCTGGTTCAGCTCCTTGAAAGTTGCGAACACCCCAACCCTTCCTTCCTTCCCCCATCAAGTCCTCCCACAGTTGCTCCTGAATAGCACCCCAGTCGCCTCTTAGGCTCCCAGAGACTGCATCTGCACCTGCACATTGCCTTTTCCACAACCCCGTTAGGCTGAGGGCAGCGACGCGAGGAGTGCGGCCGCTGACGCTCCAATTGCTCGGGTTCCATATCCTTGCGGCCACCACTTGCTAGCTATGTGTTTCCGGAAGTCGGAAATCGTAGTCTCTCCCAGGATCCGCACTTTCTTTGTACAGAAGGAGACTAACCCTTGCGTATTTTGTGGGGTTGTTGCCAGCATTCCTGAGATAATTGTAAAGCACTTAGCAATGTACCCGGAAGGGTGCTTATTATTATCTATTCAAGTATCACTTCAAGAGACGATCGCTGTTGAAAAATCAAAATGCCCCACAAGCTATGCTCTCCCTTTCTTGTTGCTTTTGGTCCAAAGTATTTCTCTTCATCTGATATGGAGATGTTTGCGTCCCCTCATTAGAATATAAGCACCATGAAGACAGGGACATTTGTCATGTTTGTTTGTGGCTGCTTCCTCAGCACCCAGAAGAGTATCTGGCACATGGCAGAGCTTACTAAATATTATGAAATGATGTGTGTGTGAAGGAATAGTGTTAATGGATCTTTATGTCTTCCTTGTTCCTGTTTTTCCCATATGGGAGTCCTAGAAGCCATGGCATCAGGTTCCTTAAGACCAACAGCCAACTTCCTCCCTTCCTTCCTCTCCTCAACATCCGCTCTTGGATGTTTTGCAGAGACACTGGGAAAGAGGGGAAGCCAAATCCTCCTGGCAGCAGCAGACTCTCTGGCTGGCACCAATCTAATAATGAAGCAGCCAATTCACCCCTTCCCCAGTGCCACTCAGAAAAACTGCCTGCACAGGCCTTTGCCCTCATTGGTGTGAAGTGAGCTGACTTTCCAGCTGGTACCGACAGGGTGGACCCTACTGGTGCCACTCGGTGTACCCTGGAAAGTGAGGCTTGCACAAACTTTGGACAAAAACCTCTTTCTAACACCCTCATCCCATTGCCCAAGCGTAGCCTTCTTTTTTTATTCTTTTAACTGGGAATTGAACCCACAGCAGTGCCTTGGCATGAAGATCTATTCCCAGCCCTTTTTTACTTCGAGACAGGGTCTCACTAAGTCTCTAAGTAGTCCAGGCTGGACTCAAATTTGCAGTGCTCCTGCCCCAGCCTCCCAGAGTGCTGGGATTACAGGCGTGCACCACCACACCCAGCTCCAACACTTTTTCAATAGTGTTACAGCCTTAACACAGATGTTGGAGAGAGAAAGCTGACTCTGGAGAAGTTTCAAAGCTTTTGAAAGCCTTGGTTTCTTCACCTGTAAAAAGAGGAATGTGAGCAGTGTTTTACATGGGGAAAACTGTTATAAAAATAAAATAAAATACATCAAGCCCCCATCCTTGTGTTAAGCATTTCAGTAACTGTCAGGCAGATGGGTAGATTTGGAATCTGGAGACATCATATGTCTTATACGAAAACAAGCAAAATATCAAACAAGTGAAAACTAAATCGTAAACAGTCCCTCCTACACCTTCTCTAATGTATTCTCTCTCCAATTTACTGACAATATTTTCGAACTAAAGCAGTATAGACCTGGGCTTGATATGTTTTATGACAGATTCTCAAGTGCAAAGCACAAAGAGGAAGAGGAAGGGTATGTGGGGGAGAAAGTGACTCTTTTCATCTGTTTTCTGTTGCTAATAATACAATACCACAGAATGAATGAAAAGTTATTTTTTTAAAAGAGATGGAAATATTTGTTGGGGGCTCATGGTTCTGGTCCAACATGAAGGGACCGCTTCTGGTGATTAACTTCCTGTCACTGGTATGCCAGATGGCACAGGGCATCTCATGATCAGAGACAGGGAGCACAGGAAAGACCTAAACAAACTGGCTTTTCTAGCAGGCCCACTTTCAAGCTACTGTATTAACTCATTAATCTATTAGTCATGTGAATGGATTAATTCATTCATGACAGCATTTTCCTAATCTTCTCTTAAAGGGGTCATGTGGTCTCACCTCTTAATATATCATAATGGGGTTAAATTTCAGCATGAGTTTTGAAGGGGATACACATATTCAAACCACAGCAGTGGCCATCTAATTCTGCTAGGAGTGTTCTTTCCCTACGAAGTCTTCCAGTGCTCAGTCCTGGGTATTTTCAGATCTCATTTATCTATAAATTGTGACAAGTTCAGATGACAGTGGTGTGTCTGGAGGTCCCTACTAGGGGTAGCACTATTCCCATGGAGAGAGGAGGAATCTGTGAAAGTCTGTTTAAGAAGTCGTTAGACAAAAAGAGACCATCTACTACCCTCAAGAAGTAAGGCACTACTGCCTTGCCAACTGTTCTAGAAGACAAGACATTTGCTCTCTGCTGAGATTAAACAGAATAACTATAGACACCAGTCACAGCTGAGAGGAGAGTTGAGGTGCTGTACCGAAAGAGAGGTTAAGGGAAAGCCAGCATGTTGAACAAGGAAGCTTTTGCCTCCACTTGACTCCTTTACTCTGACATCCAGACAGGAGATTGGAGTATTGCCCCTAAGATGTAACCAGTTCAAAAAAAAAAATCCATTAGGAGTCCTCCAAAAGTCCTAAGGACTTGAAATCTACATCCATTCATCCTATAGAATGCCCAGTCATTGACAAACTCCATCACCATACGTATGCTTAAGAATATTTCTCAGTAATCTACCATTCCAAGGAAGTTCCAGAAAAGGAAAATGGACAAAAGAAAATTATTAAATAAAGTACACAGGAAAAGTTCCCCGAACTGTACACATGAATTGCCAGATTTAAAGGATCCTCCGATATCCAATAAAATAAATGAAACAAAATGTATACCAAGGCACAGCATGGTGGGATTTTAGATATTAAAGGATAAAATTTCTCTCCAGCCTTTCAAATCTCCAAAGGGGAGAAATATGCAACATAGAGATTCATAATGGCTCAGAATTCTCATCAGTAATGCTGAAAGGTGAACAATAATGAAAAATGACTTCAAAATTATGAAGAAAAATTATTTCTAACTTTGATGTGAGGCCTAAGTAATCATTTAAGAGAGAGAGAAAAATAAAAACATTTTCAAACATTTAAGATCTCAAAAAGTACTGCCTGTCATGCATCTTTTCTCAGGAAGTCATGCAATTGATGGGAAGGGATCAAGAAAAAGAAGTATCTGACCCACAAAAGCATCCAAGAGAAATATCCCTTAAAACAAGGCAGTTGGTCTCATAAACTCACAGAAGAAACAGCTGACAACGGACAGTGTCCAAAGCCACAGCCATAAACCATTATCTGGTTGTGAGCTGCACAGTAAGCAAGAGAGCTGGCCTAAATCTGACCACACCTGCTCTGGGAGACAAAGTCTGTGGCCACAAAGAAAGTAAACACCCACAAGATGAAAGGCAAACCAAACTGAGTCTTCTTTCCATCTGACCCAGGCTCCACCAGGAATGGCTCATCCATCAAAACTGTGTTTCAGTTGGACCTCAGTGAGGTGTAGAGAGGAGATTTGCCTCCTTCCAGTGACCAGGGAAGAACAATGGAAATATGAGATCTTTGTCCAGGCAGCTGACTCACAGCAGTTGATGCCGCCTATAAGTTGTTGGGTCTTTCTCTGTACCATTTTGGGTTTCTCCTATACGACTGTCACCTATGCAATGAGGCATTAAGATGATGGATGCTTGTGGCTTATTTCGTATTAATTTCTGTTCTTACAGCTCTGAAGGACATTCAGATAGTTCCATATGGCCAAGACACTGTCTGAAGTGTGCCTTTGTTTGAAAGCTGTCTTCTAGATAGCCACAGATTTCATAGATCTGCATGTCGTCCAAGCAGCCCCTACCTTTGTTTTTACTTTCATCAATTTCACCACTGTG